TAACTTGACAAGCCAGCTGTGTTCAGAGCAGACTGGTCTCAGGGGAGTGGCATAGGTCAGTTGTAAAGACCATTTTTATTCTTCACACAGAGAAGCAGCTAAATCAGAACTGTATTAGTCAGACACTTGTCTGACTGACAACCCAGTTCCTTTGGCTGTTTTCTGATCTTTCAATTCAACCTTACCAATTCACAGAACAAAATGCTACATACATATTCTTTTCCTGCAGCATTTCTGTAGTCCTTCCAGTCGTAAACTGCAACAGCCTAGGAGCCATGGCCAGGCACACAACCCAAGAACCTAGTGCCCCTTGATCCTAAGGCTGATGCAGAAGGAGTGAGACAAGGAGAGTTGCACTAACTCTTTGAGGTAAAGGCCTTCTGCACAGCTCACAGTGATTGTAGTGACTCAGGCTTTGCTGACCCCTGGTAAGAGAAAGTGTTGTGCCTCTAGCTCTCCTTTGTCCTGTCCTTTGCAGGAAAAGAGACACTAGAAACAGGCTTTCTGCAGAACTCAGGTCCAGGGAAAGAAGGGCATCTTCAGTTGGGTCCTGAAGATTCCTTACAACTGCATGTGTTGTCAGAAAAATTAGTGTGTAGAAGAATTTCTCTGGTTTTATTCCTCAACACTAAATGGAAAAGAGTATTTTTTCCATTTCATGCACAAGACTTGCATTCTGAGCATTCCTTCAATAACATTCAGTCATAGTTTGACAATTATTTAAATTACTATCTTATTGTTTTAACTACTGTGGTGTAAAGAGCTGGAAATATGCATCAGACTCAGTTCGAACTTAATAGTTAAATTTGCAAGAGGCAGCTGTTGCTGGGGGAGGAATAACTCAAGACCAAAGCAGAAAATGACTGTGAAGATGTCCTTCCATTTTATCTGACAACATTTGCTCTCTCTGAGCCCACAGCCATTCAGAGACCAGAATCACTGGCCATTCTTTAGGCTGGGAAATCCAGCTCATCTGTACTCTTATGGGATGACTGGCTGACAAATTTTTTTATTTGCTGGTTTGAGTTTATTTTACAATGAGTGATTTTAAATCACCAAATCATAAGGAAAAAAATCCTATGTAGAAGAAAAGGTTTGAAAGAAACCCAGTAGCTCCAAAAAGAAGGGATGACAGCTAAACAGCCAACTAGAGATGGAAAACCCAAACACAGTGATTCAAAAAACAAACCCAAGATCTGTTTTCTCTAGCAGGTAATTAGCAGTAGCCTCAAAAAGGAAAAAAGAGGCATGGTTCTGAAGCAAGGCAATACCACAGCAGGGTCCTTTCAAGATTCCCACCACGTATTTGTGACAAGAGGCCTCCTTTAAGCTCAGGACAGCACTGGGTCTCTAACACATTAAAGCCCATGTGCTGATCTGCATGCTGGATTTCTGAGTGAGTGAGTAAAAGTAATGTGCACTGTCCTGATTCATTCTGCTACTGGGGACACCTTCAGGCTTTGCCCCCGTTGCTTAAGCAGCAATTACATCTCATTATCACGCACAAGGGAGTTTTGTGATACCTTTTATCATTTCTACACTGTAACACATTGCAGCACTGTACTCTATTCATATGGACTTCTCCAGTGAGATGCCTCCATTTGAGATACTCCCGGACCAGATGATTTTTCTGTAAAGAGCAGTGAGATTATGGCTAATTATTTCCTGCTGTCCTCTCTGTCTTTTTTATTCCATTAAACAAACAGACAGTGTTTGGTATATGAGTAAGAAATGTAGTGTAACAGAAAATATGTTAGAAAGGAAATGATTACTAATCACTGCTTTTTGCCCAATACAGCTAAAATGACCTATTTCCTCAGCTCATCAGCTGAGCAAACTACTGACTTCAAGATGTGAGAAACCATCCTTTTTCTTTGACGGCAAACACAATTTTGTTTCTGTAATGAATCCAAGGAGCAAATATGACCTGGGCTGAAAGAGAAGCACACAAAAACTAGTCAGTTCAGAAAAAGAAGACATGAATGGGAAGCAGAGAGACAAACCTGAAACATTGTCTAACCCTTTATTAAGTACAATTTTAAAATATGGAACTCAAGAAAGCATCAGTTAGGTTAACACTTGCCCAGGACATTACAGTACGTGTGAGGAGGTAAAATGTAAAACTACTCATAAAATAAAATTGTACTGCTTTGAGCAGCAGGAAGATAAAAAGTTAACCACAGCCCTCAGGTGACTGATCAGATGAAAATGAATTAAAGATGTAAGGAGCATGATTCATTATCTGGTGGAATTAAAAAGTTAACTACCTTATGAACACATACAAAACCCCCAAATGGATATACTTCTCTTATACTACATTAAACTCCTTGGGTTTCTCAGTATTTCCAGGACTGAACATGACTTTGGGACAACTAATCACTATGTATTCTTTATAGTTTGCACTATGAGACACACAGTATCCAAATGTTTTGATTAAACAAGCTTTAATTTTGGGGTGGCTTGTTTTTTCCAGGAATTAGAGGAGGCATTTCTCAAACATCAGCTCATCTGGACTTTTCAAATGGCAAGCTAAAATCATATATTTACAAGTGGCTTTGGGGATTCCCTTTTACTTTTCTCTGACTCAAAAACAGCACTAAATGTTTCTTTCCCTTATATAAAGAATCTCTCTACACTGAAGCAAGAGGCACACTTTGCAAAGAAAGCATTCTAAAATATGGAGTTTAAAAAAAAATATTCTTCCATAATTTCACCTACAAGTTGTTCTCAGACCCATGGCAGGGAGAAACGAGCTCAATGACAATAAAATCTAGTCCTGACAGGAAGGAATTAGTTACTGGCAATACAGTTATCTAAAACCATACACATTCTCAGGAAGAAAGAATGTAATATTGAATTAATGCTTCAATATATATCCAGCCTTGAGTTCAAAAGGCACAAGGCGTGCTTCAAAGAAAAGGACCTGCAACTTACATCTAAGTGTACATAAAGGCTATGCCTAAATTGGCAGGGAATTCAGCTCAGTGCAAGCAAACAAGTAAAACAAGGCAGCTGGTGTAAGGCCTCTGCATCTCTAAGAATTTCTCCTTCAAGTCCAGCTTTAGTCGGGTTGGCTGGAAGACAAATGTTCCCTCTCAGTGGACACGGTTCGAAGATGTCCGATGGATGAACCACTGGTCCATCTGGAGATGATTAGCTCTCCCTTAGGATGATGGAGAGTTGGTGCTGTTAACCCAAAGACACTCTTAGACAATCACAAAAAACTTCTGCTTCTCTCTTGTCAGTTCATGGTCCTCTCCTGGTTTTCTCAGCTTCACTCCAGGACACCATGCCTGTGGCATTGTAAGTGATCTACAGGATGAAGGCAGGTTTGCTCTCTTATAAGCACTTGAGTTTGCTCCTCTGTGCTCACAATGATGGCTGCTCCAGCTCAAGGGCTGATAGGTGAGACAAACTCCAGCTGTAGGAGGGAAAAAACCTCCAGCACAACTGTGGCTGACTTAACCAGAACACCTCAGGAATCAGGGACTCCTTTTTTCCAGCCCCACCCCACAGCCTGTCATTTGCCTACCGGAGATTTTCAGAGCTCCCCTCCTGTTGACTCTCCAAATACATGCTTGGTCACGGGAACATTTTAATACAGTATTATAAATAATACTCTCTTTGGGAGAGGGAGGCTTTGCAGCACTCTTCTGCTGGCCACTGGTCCTCTGAGGATCAGATACAGGTATCTGACTCCTCATAGGGTTCCCACCTTCCCAAAATATTTGCCAACTCTCCTTGAAGGGGGCAAGGTGAAGATAACACCATAAACATAAATGACCCAGAGAAACTCAATTACAATGAAACCTTGAAACCATCCTGCAATTTTGAAAATGCTGAGAAACTTCTGCAAGTTGTTTAGAAGGGGATTGCCTTCTCAACTCTCTCCCACCCTTAGGCTGACAAAACCTCGTGGCTTGCCACGGCCCCGGCTCAGAAGGTGCTCCAGCCAGCGAGGGCTCTCCTGCAAGCTCCCTTGGGCCACAAGCACATTCCCTTGCCCAGAGCTCGGGCAGAGATCTTGAAAGATGATGTTACATTGCCAATCGTTCAAGATTTATTTATTTCAGCGTTTTGACCAGAAGAGCTGTGGGTCAGACACCCTGGCTGACGCCTTGTTCAGGACTCCCACCCTTCCTGCAGCTGCCCGAGGCCCGAGGCCCACGGCCAGGGAACGCCTTCCCTTGCCCCCGGCTGCACGAGGAGGGCGTTGGGAGTGCGGATGGAGGGAAGCCCAGGGGGCCATCGGGACCCGGCGGGGTGAAGGGGCGCGGACAGGTGCCGAGCCCGGCCCGGCCCTGCCACGGCCGCGAGCGGGGGGCGCAGCGCGGCCGCTCCGGCGTCGGGAGGAGCCGCTCGGTGCCGCTCTTTCCCCCGCCGCCGCCCGTCTGCGAGCGTGTGTCAAACCCACGTGCTCCGCCGGCCCGCGCAGCCCGGAGCGGCGCCCCGCGAGCGGCGGCGGGGAGGAGGAAGAGGAGGAGGAGGAGGAGAAGGAGGGCGGTGTTTTCCTGCGCGGCGCCGCGGCCGTCGCCCCGCCGCCGGCGAGCGTCAGGCGGGGGGGGGCCCGGCCCGGCCCTTCCCCTGGCCCCCGCGCCCCGAGGATGGCAGCGCTGCCCGCACGAGTGGCTGGCGGCGGTGTCCCTCCTCTTTTTTTTTCCGGCAGCGGCGGCGGCGGCGGCAGCGGCGGCGGATCATTGTTGTGTGGGAGGAGGGCGGCGGGGATGGACTTGATCTCTCGGGTCTCCTGCTAAGGCGGCAGCACAGCGCGCCCCGCCGCCCAGCCAGCGCCGCGCCGGGCAGGGAGGGACCGGACCGGGCCCCCGCCCGCTCCCCGGCTCTTTATTTTTAGGGGGCTCTGCTGCTCCTCTCCCTCTCCCTTATCTCCCCCCCACCCCCTCTCCGCCCGCACACACGCACAGGGACACGCACGCACCCTCCTCCGGTGCCCTTTCATCCTTCCCCCCGCCGTCCTCCCGCGCCGTCTCCTGCCGAGGCAGATGCGCCGCGGGTCACCGCGCAGCTGGGACTATGGTGAAATTTCCAGCGCTCACTAACTACTGGCCCCTGATCCGGTTCCTGGTCCCTCTCGGCATCACCAACATCGCCATCGACTTCGGGGAGCAGGTAAGGCAGTGCCTCTCTGGGGAGCAACCCTCTCCCTCCAGCCCGCCCTCCCTCAGCGCCGGGCTGGCGCGGTCGGTGCCTCCGCCGGGAAGGGAAGGGACGGAGAGCCGAGCCGAGCCGAGCCGTGCCGAGCTGAGCCGTGCCGTGCCGTCCTGCCCCGGCTCATCGCACCGGGCGGGGACTGCGGCCCCTGCGCCTGCGGGGACAGCGAGCGGCTGGTGCCGGCGTGCCTGCCCCGGCGGCCGCCCGAGACCACGGGCTGCCCCGCACCGCCAGGAGATGCCCGGGGAAGGATGGCAGGGTTTGGGTTGTTTTGAGGAATTTTTCCCGCTCGCATTTCAGGATTATATAATCTGAAATTACATAATGCATTGGCCGGGGGCTGGCAGTGGTTTATCCCCGCGCTGACACGGCCGCTCAGGTGCAGCAGCCCCTAGCGCAGTGCAGCGCGGCTCGGCGGCGGCCGGAGCGGGGCGCGGGGCGGGCGGCCCGGCTGCCGCTGCCGAAGGGAGGCGAGTCCCCCCCGCCCCGCGGCGTGCCGCTGCCGCAGCGGTTCGGCCCCGGCGCCGAGAGCCCCCGGCGCGGCATGGCGGGAGGAGCGCGGCATCCCGCGGGGAGCCGCTCCGCACCCCGCCGGGCAGGTGAACCTGCGGCTGCACCCCTGCCCCCGCCGCCGTTCTGTGCGCCTCGGCACTGCTGCAGTTCTGTGTTGGTGACCTAAGGCTGTCCCCTGGCATGGACACCGACGAGATAGCCCGGCGTATCCGAACCCGCCGTCAACCTGTCTCCCTGACATGCAGCCACCCCATTTCGTCCTCCCAGTCCCCGCTTGCTGCGTTTGCACTGAGAACGTGTCCAGGGCTTGACGTACCCACTCCCCTGCCCGAGCTAGTGCTCGTTTGCCCCTGCACTGGGGCGTGGGGGAATCTCTGCTCTCACGTTTTGGTATTTATGATAATCCAGGCCCTGTCTTGTGTTAGGCTGCACTATATGGGACCTGTCATTACATTTTTAGTAGGATGGCATACACTACTACTTACTTGCAAATGTTAAGCAGCCACACCAAGTATTGCACCCCAAATAGCTTCATCCTTGTCCTAAGTTGCTCATTTTGGCTAAGAAGCATAGACACTTGCTCCTTTCTTGACACTTTCTTGAGGAAAGATATCAGAAAAAATAGTGGGTACTTACAAGCATTTGTAAAGAAGAAAGTGAAAGGAAAAATACTACAGTGGGAAAAAATAGCTAACATTAATCATATGTTTGTCATGGCTGTGTCAATTGCATTTTGATTCCTAGTCCTTTAAATAAACTGCAATACTAAAAAATTCAATTTCATCCTTGTCTAACAACTATGTGCTTTTGTACTAAGTCAGTCTGCTTTAAAACATACTGGGGGCCGGGGAGGAGGGGAGAGGGAAGGGAAATCTAAATATAGAAATGACAAATGAAAATGAGATTTAAGTGCTAATAACTATGCCATGTTAATAACATATAGTAGAAGTTAAATTGAAAGCAGTGCACTCAGCAAACTGAGTATGACAGGTGCATTCATACGGTTTGCTTCGTACAAGGTCAGTTCAATTCAAGGTAAATGTCAGCCTATAAAAAAACATCCCCATGGCTTCAGTGTGCTCTGAACCAGGATTTCAAAATTTGCAAGAGATTTTATAAGCGAGAGTCCTTCTGTCTGGCTGGGTACCAGTGACACAGGAGGGATGTTAATCTATGAATGATACATGTAAACACTTTAACAACTTTGACAGTGTTAGGGACAAAAATATCTTAGAAAATTTGTTTCGTTTGATAGCCAAGTCATAGGATTGGATTTTCAGGAGAGTTGGGTTTATCCCTTGTCTCAGATGGCTGCCTGGGGAGACATTTAATTGAAAAGGGAGAAATCCAGCCTGCTAGAACTCTAGCTTCTCTCAGGAGCAGAAACTGGAAAGATAGTTTTTCTTACCAGCCTAGATGGAAATCAGGAAACTGAAGCATGGACAAAGCCACTCCATGTCTGAAGGGTTCGTCATACAGACAAAAGGACAGTGATTTTATTTTCCTCTGTGTAATACATGAAGTTACTTTTTGCACTTGTACAACGTTACTGTTGGACTTGAGAGACTGAAAGTACATTGACTTGCTGAGCCAGTCACCTTTCTGCTTTACATTTCCAAAAAGTGCAATAATTTTAACGTGAGGGATGAATGGAAGCAACATAGAAGAATGGGTGTGCCAACGGATAGCTCTGCAAAGGCTGCAGTACCCCCTCCTTTGAATGTATACTGCAGATAACACAGATTTCTAAGAATGAAAAGGGAAGAAAAATTTGCATTACTTGCTCTGGACAATACTGTAAAAGAGAAAGGAGAACTGCAGGTCAGAATAAGAGATGATTAAGGAGAGAATGGACTTTGCCTGACGAGGGAAGAAGAGATGTGTAAGAAATGCTGTAGGTCATAAACCCTTTTGATGTGTGGTATTCATACATTGCTCCCTCAAGTGAGGAGAGTATTTGGAAGTAGAGCATTCAAAGCAGAGCCTTCTTAGCATAACCTTATACTATTAGATACCTCAGATTGAAAAGTGAGAAACAAAGAGAATCACATCTTTTTTTTTCCTGTTACCTTGAGAGACTTTTCTGGGTGTTGAGTAGTTGTAGTCAATAACAAACATCACTAGAAAATTACCAGATCCCTGGTATGCAGCTGCCTCTAGGTTGAGGGAAATTTACAGTAAGGCTAAAGATTGTTTGCAGAACATAGGTTAAGGCTGTCACCATTGCCCCATATAAGATGCTTGGCATGGCAAGTCTGTTTAGTTTACAGGAAGTAAAAAATGCTGGCACAGTGCTTAAGAACTAATAAGCTCAGCTCCTGAAGTCACTTTCAGAACCGCTACAGCCAGTGAAGAGTCTCCTGTTGACCCTGGACTCTAATCCAACAATGCCTTAGGACAAGGCTATATTACAGAGTTGCTCCAATCTAGTGAGCTGACCTCAGTTCTTCACCTCATAAATTCTCTCAGACAAATACCTGATTTTTTTCCTCTACTTAAAAAAGTAATCCTGATGCATGACCAGGTAAATTGCCAGAATATTAGAGAGATAAATAATTTCTAACTTACATTCTTGATTTCCTTCTGCAACCCATTTCCAGTTTATTGACAGTGCTACATGGCTTTTATGAAATTAAATACTACATACCTTTCTTCTTAAAAGTATGGCCTTCAGGAAAACAGTCACAAATCTTTTGGCTAAATGTTTCTTCACCACTCAAATCTGTGTCTCTATGTGTCGGTAATGTGTGTTCATGTGCATGCATCTATATTTATTTTTTTCTCCAGATGTATGCATGCACTCACAAATATACACAACACAGCATTTTCATCCCAAGAGTTTAACACCACCAGAAGAGAGATGGTCTCTTTTATTCTGCCATTGAGAGGAGCTTTCAACTCTCAACATCTTACCCTGAGATTCACAATAATTACTGTTGTATTTAGAGCTCAGTCGTTGGAAGGCAAAATTTGCATTAAAAGTTCTGTCTCCTTTGAAAAATGTTGGATGTACTTGCTTAGAAATAAATAAACAAATGCCTCCCGTGTGATGGAGAGCAACACAACCTCAAACAACTCAACCAGCAAATAACAGCACTGCTACTCTGTGGGCTCAAAAATCTGTCACCACCCACATCAGTTTTCCTTTTAACACAGTTCCAGAGCTGCTGACATATATTCTGGTGGCCTGACTTGTAACATAAATGTGCATTTGCATCAGCATCTTTACAAAGGGGGAAAGCTGAGGTGGGCATGAATTCACTAACTTTGTCAGAAGCACAGACTCAACCGTAGGCAGCACTAAATACAGTTTGCAAGCGTGGCTGGCAGCTCTCTCTGATGCCCACAGGACAGCAAAGGCCAGGCAGAGAGCAGTGTTCAATCTCAAGGTCTGTTTGCAGTAGTCCCTTAATTATCAATGGGAAGGGACACTAGTATGGTTTTTTGGTTTGAGGTTGTTTTTTTTTTTTTTTAACTTTGTAGCTACCATGTAGCCAGCCCCAGGATCATTAGTTTGTGTCACTGTCAGTAGTTGTTGGCCAGGCAGTTTAGCATGCCAACATCACTTATGTGTGCATCCACGGTGTTCAGTGGCTTGTGGGGCACTGGAAACTGAAACCGAGCAAGCACAGCTCTGTTGCCTCTTTCTCCAAAAGGCACTCAGGTGCTCTGGTCCCTGCAGAGAACTTGCCATACATTGCCCATGTTGTAGTGTTTGAGATCCAACAGATGGTCCATAAAGGAAATGCTAAGTGTTTTGGATTCCAAATTATTTTGCAGTAATTGCTGTTTTTTCTTGTATTTGATTGGGGTTTTTTGGACTGGTTTTTTTTCTTTTGTTTTGTTTTTTTGGGTTTTTTTTTTTTTTGAAAGTTGCCAGAAAAGGAGAACAAGTCATGAATAATGTATCAAAAAGAATTAGTGAGCTTATTGTCTGCCCATGCCATTTGCAAACTTAGTAGGGGGTTAAACATTTTGATTAATGCCTTATGAAGCTTGGTTTTGGGGTAAGCATTATTGTCTGGACGTTCAAAACAAGTAATGGGAGAGTTCACATTCCGAGCTGTTCACCAGGGATTTGCGCCAAGTTGTGTAACCTTTCCATGGCATAGTTTCCCTGCCTTTGAAGTGTGCCTAGACACCTACCTGTATGCAGATGTAATGAAAATTCATGTGTCAGAAGCACTCTGAATGATGAGATGAAAGGTGCTGTATGAGTGCAAAGTACTCCTGTTATTGATGTTGTAAGAGGTCAGGGACTTGTTTCAATTGTGTAGGACTTTAGTACCATATAAACAAGACAGCCAACAGCGTCCTATAATTGGTGTACAACATGACTGTATATTATTACCACAACCACATTACTATTAGGATAGGCTGATAGAAATGTCCTGTTTATTTTAAATGAATGTGAATTACACAGCTTTTTAAATTAAATTTAGATT